GAGCAGATGCAGTGGAGGCAAAGGAATTGGGAATAGGGGATGGCATTTTTGCAGGAAGGTGGGTGGGAGGAGGTGTATTCTAGGTAGCTGTGGGAGTCGGTGGACTTGAAATGGATGTCGGTTTCCAGGTGGTTGCCAGAGATGGAAACAGAGGTCCAGAAGGAGAGAGAGGTATCAGAAATGGTCCAGGTGAACTTAAGGTTGGGGTGGAAGGTGTTGGTGAAGTGGATGAATTGTTCGAGCTCCTCGTGGGAGCACGAGGCGGCTCCGATACAGTCATCAATGTAACGGAGGAAGAGGTGGGGTTTAGGGCCAGTGTAGCTACAGAAGAGGGATTGTTCCACGCCCTGCTGAGTCTTCACCATCCCCCCAGACCTCCCCCTTACTGAGGACAAACGATCAGTCCTCAGTAAAAGGGCTCACCTTTGTCCCCCTCCACCCAAACATCAACAAATACCGCTCATGCTTGGACGTTGAACAGTTTTTCCTCAGTCTCTGCGCTTACTTCTTTAACCGTGAGCCTAACCCTCCCTCGACTGACCCCTTCTCCCGCCTCCAACACACCTTCTCCTTCTGGACACCACCCCAAGGCCTCCTACCCTCCCTCAACCTCTTCATCTCCAACTGCCATCGTGACATCAATCGCCTCCTCTCCACCCCTCTCACCCACTCCAACCTTTCCAACAGAACGTGCAGCCCTCCGCTCCAATCCCAACCTCACCATAAAACCCACGGACAAGGGAGGCACAGATGTAGTATGGCGCATTGACCTCTACATCGCCGAGGCCAGGAGCCAACTCCGACACCACCTCCTACCACCTCCTTGATCATGACCCCACCCCCAACCACCAAAACATCATCTTCCAAACCATCCACAACCTCATCACCTCAGGTGACCTCCCACCCACAGCCTCCAACTTCATCGTTCCCCAACCCACACCGCCTGCTTCGAGCTCCTTCCCAAAATTCACAAACCTGACTGCCCTGGTCGACCCATTGTCTCCGCCTGCTCCTGCCCCACCAAACTTATCTCCACCTATCTCGACTCCATTTTCTCCCCCTTGGTCCAGGAACTCCCTACCTACGTCCGTGACACCACCCACGCCCTCCACCTCCTCCAAAACTTCCAATTCCCTGGTCCCCAACACCTCATCTTTACCATAGACATCCAGTCCCTATACACCTGCATGCCCCATGCAGATGGCCTAAAGGCCCTCCACTTCTTCCTGTACCGCAGGCTCGACCAGTCGCCCTCCACTGACACCCTCATCCGCTTAGCCGAACTCATCCTCACCGTCAATATCTTCTCTTTCAATTCCTCCCACTTCCCACAGACAAAGGGGGTGGCCATGGATACCCGCATGGGCCCAAGCTATGCCTGCCTCTTTGTAAGTTACGTCAAACAATCCCTCTTCCGTTGCTACACTGGCCCTAAACCCCACCTCTTCCTCCGTTACATTGATGACTGTATCGGAGCCGCCTCGTGCTCCCACGAGGAGCTCGAACAGTTCATCCACTTCAACGACACCTTCCACCCCAACCTTAAGCTCACCTGGACCATCTCTGATACCTCTCTCTCCTTCTGGACCTCTCCGTTTCCATCTCCGGCAACCACCTGGAAACCGATATCCATTTCAAGCCCACCGATTCCCACAGCAACCTAGGATACACCTCCTCCCTTCCACCTTCCTGCAAAAATGCCATCCCCATTCCCAATTCCTTCGCCTCCGCCGCATCTGCTCCCAGGATGAGGCATTCCACTCCCAAACATCTCAGATGTCCTCGTTTTTCAAGGACTGCAACTTCCCCCACTCAGTGGTCGAGAACGCCCTCGAACGTGTCTCCCACATTTCCCGCAACTCATCTCTCACACCCCCTCCCCGCAATAACAACCAAAACAGAAACCCCCTTGTCCTCACATACCACCCCACCAACTTCCGGATCCAACGCATCATCCTCCGACACTTCCGCCATCTGCAATCCGACCCCACACCAAAGACATTTTTCCCTCCCCACCCTTATCTGCTTTCCGGAGGGACCACTTTCTCCGTGACTCCCTTGTCCACTCCACACGCCCCACCACACCTGGCACTTTTCCCTGCACCCGCAGATGTTCACTTGCACATCTGCTAATGTGGTATACTGCATCCGCTGTTCCCGTTGTGGCCTCCTCTACATCGGGGAAACCAAGCGGAGGCTTGGGGACCGCTTTGCGGAACACCTATGCTCGGTTTGCACTAAACAACTGTACCTCTCAGTCTCGAACCATTTCAATGGCCCCTCCCATTCCTCAGATGACATGTCCATCCTGGGCCTCCTGCAATGCCACAATGATGCCACCCGAAGGTTGCAGGAACAGCACCTCATATTCCGCTTGGGAACCCTGCAGCCCAATAGTATCAATGTGGACTTCACAAGCTTCAAAATCTCCTCTCCCCCTACCACATCCCAAAACCAGCCCAGCTTGTCCCTGCTTCCCTCACCTGTCCTTCCTCCCTCCTACCACCTCAAGCCCCACCCCCATCTCCTAGCCTCATCCCGCCCCCTTGACCTGTCCGTCCTCCCCGGACTTGCCTATCCCCTCCCTACCTCCCCACCTACACTCACCTTTACTGGCTCCATCCCCACCTCTTTTGACCTGTCTGTCTCCTCTCCACCTATCTTCTCCTCTATCCATCTTCTATCCGCCTCCCCCACTCCCTATTTATTTCAGAATCCCCTTCCTCTCCCCCATTTCTGAAGAAGGGTCTATGCCCGAAAAGTCAGCTTTCCTGTTCCTCTGATGCTGCTTGGCCTGCTGTGTTCATCCAGCTCTACACCTTGTTATCTCAGACTCTCCAGCATCTGCAGTTCCTACTATCTCTGAAATTATTTTCTTCTACATTTTGAATTAAGAAACACTTTAATGAAGAATCCAGAATGGTGGCTACATGAATTTAAAAAGGAGAAAAAGACAGATTATTGAAGAATGGTCACTCAGTTTTTAATTTGTAGAAATTTCTGACTGGTGGCATCCAGTCCTCATCAACATGCTCCACAATTTTTTTAAGCTGTTATTGGTGCTGTTTTTCAAATACAAAATCTGGACCAATCAAGCATATAAATAGATCTGATGTGGAGTTTAAGTAAAACGTTTTGCAGAAATGTTAACACCTTTGACTTACCTGCTTATGAACCTTTGTGAGCTGTTCAAGGTTGTTTTCGAGAAAGGAGATCTTTTGCTTCTGTGCAGCACTACCACCGGTGTCATCAGAATCCATTTCAGCACTCTGAAATAAAACATTATAATGAGCGGTGATAAAGACTTACAGTATAAGGTATTCAAACATTTTGAACTGGAAGTTTACTACTGTGAAACAATTTAAATGAATTACAATACAATAATGTATTAAAATGAAGGCAACCAAGTGCAACATCTAGATTAGCAGTTTATTACACTGCAACAGAAAGCAGATGATGGATTGAACAATGCTGCAGTACACTTAACACTTGACATTGATACAATGTATTTTAAAAATAAATCAAAGCAAAACCACTTCCAGAGGATAACTGCACATCTGTATAGCATCTACAGCACAGAAGCAGACCATTCATTCTATCCGACGTACATAATAATTGTGCTTCACACAAGCCTTCGCCCACCTATTAGCAAATGCTTTTATTTCTTTCTCCTGGATGCTAATCTGACTTTCGCTTAAATACACCTATGCTAGTTATGGCAATGACTCCTTGCAGTAGCATAATCCACATTAACATTCTCCAGGTAAAAACTTTCTCCAAACTTCCCTCTTTGTACTATCTTATATTCATGACCTCCATTTTTAAGACTCTCCACAAACTGGAAAAAATGTCTTCATTTATAAAGGGCTTTGATTGAGCTGACTCAAAAACCACTCAGCCTTCTCTTTTCTAGAGAAAAAGGGCCCTAGCCTTTCCTGGTAAGTGTAGCCTCAGTTCTGGTATCATCTTTGCAAATCTTTTGTGTACCTTCTCCAGGGTCAGGAGGAGAGGAGAGTTTATTGGACAGTATTATGGTGCCAAGCAACAATTTTTAATGTTAACTTGTACAAAAGGGAAACTGGATTGTCAGACTAAACTGAATAATTTATCATTTAAAAGTGAGATAAGAGAAATTCCAAATGTTAATCATTAAAATTAATAGTGGCCAACAGGGCTAAAAATGCGGTTGTAAAAGTTGCTTAGAATAGCAGTGTAGTGGCAGGTTATTGGGCAAGTGCTTCACAGTTAATAACCTAGAAAATCGATGTTCAAATTTCACCATGGCAGTTTGATAATTTAGTCTTGTTTAAAATAAAAACTGATATCACTGATTGTGACCATGAAGCTACCGAATTTCAACTGAAATGAGGTCTTGTATGGAAGGAAACCTGCTGTGCACCTTTACCCAATACAGTTGTACTGTTCCAAACCAACACTTTTTGGTCTCTGAATTGCCCCAATAAGCCATTCAGTTGTTTCAAACTGTTACCAGTGGCTCAAGAAGGGGACATTCAACCACTTTTCAGGACGACCAGAGTTGGGCAGCAATTCTCTTGACAACATCCCAAGAAAATAATTTAAAGTCTTCCAAACTGGAAATGGGTTACACAAGTTAATAACTGCAATCTTCAAACTGAAACCGCCTAAACTTTAAAACACTGGGCAGCAACATTTTTCCAATGGCTGTATTTCAGCCAGCAGCAGGGAAATCCAAAAGCTTCGGAATCAAAATTCATCCAACAAAAAAGATACACAGCAAATGCCCAAATAACATCAATATTTTCATCCATGAAATTTTCATCTCAGGAGGTAACCTGAAAGATGGTAAGCAAATCTGCAATTTAAAATTATGTCTCGGGTAATATAAACTGAGCTGTGTAAATCACAGATCATCACGCTCAAATAATGTTGCGATATCTACCATATTAATACTTTTTTAATCCTGAACGCTAACAGAGGACCTCTAGTGGTGCAAAGTAAGTATTATAGTACACAACAGTAAATTCTAATATTCCAATAAATCTCAACAGATTTCAATTTTTTTAATGAAGCTTGAATCAGCTACTAGACTTCACATCATTTATCTGTTTAACAGCAACTAAAGAAGATTTGAAAAGTTGTAGGCAGTTACAAGAAGTGCTAAATCTACAACAATTCATTTTAAACTAACAGCAGTTAGTAAACAAAAGGCATGCAGGGCTTATAACAACAATTAGATTTATACCATTAAAAATGAAACTTGTCAGGAACTTTATGGCTCTACCTATTTATGCCATCAAGTCATACAGGATGAAAACAGACTATGGTCCAACCAGTCCATACCAACCTAAACGAGTCCCACCTGCCCGCTCCTGGCCCATATACCTCCAAACCTTTCTTATTCATGTATCTAAATGTCTTTTAAATGTTGTAATTGTGCCAGCTTCCTCAGGAAGTTCATTCCACATGAATCACCTTAAGTATAAAAAATTTGCCTCAAATCTTCTTTAAACCTCTCTCCTCTCATGTTAAAATTGTGTCCCCTAGTCTTGAAATCCCTCAACTAGGGAAAAGATAACCACCATTAACTCTATCGATACTTCTCATTATTTTACAAATGTATATCAGGTCATCTATCAACCTCCTACGCTCCAGTCAGAGTCGTCCCAGCCTATCCAGCCTTTATAACTCAAATCTTCCATACTCAGCAACATCCCAGTACATCTCTTCTGAACCGTCTCCAGCTTCATAATATCCTTCCTATAAACTGGGTGACCAGAACTGGACACAGCATTCCAGAAGAGGCCTCACCAAAAGTCCTGTACAACCTCAGCATGACTTCCCAACTCCTATAGTCAAAGGATTGAGCTAGCGTGAAGGCAAGCATGCCGAATGCCTTTTCAAACATCCTGTCTATATATGACGCAAACATCAAAGAATTATGTACCTGCACCCCTAGGTCCCTCTGTTCTACAACACAAGGCCCTAACATTAACTGTATAAGCCCTACCTTTGTTTGTTGTACCAACATGCAATATGTTGCATTTACCCAGATTGAACTCCATCAGTCAGTTTTCAGCCTATTGACCCATTCGATCAAGATCCCTCTGTGATCTTGGAGCCTTCTTCACTGTCTACTGTGCCACTAATTTTGGTGTCATCCACAAACTTACTAAGCATGCCTTCTACGTTCTCGTCCAAATCATTTATATGAAAATTACAAACAAAAGGAGGACCCAGAATCCCTGTGGCACACCGCTGGTCACAGACCTCCAGTCCGAAAAACAACCCTCCACTGCTACTTTGCCTCCTGCCATTACGCCAATTATGTATCCAATTGGCAAGCTCACCCTGAATCCCATGTGACCTAACTTTGCTAATTAGCCTACCACGCAGAACCTTGTCAAAGACTTTATTAAAATACGAACAACCAACATCTACTGCACTGCCATCATTAATATTTTTGGTAACTTCCTCAAAAAACTCAACCAAGTTTGTGAGACACTATCTTCCTCACACAAAAGCATGTGACTGTCCCTAATCAATTTTTGCCTCTCTAAATGTCCAAAATTTTTGTAAACACCTCAAACAATTGATTTAAAGCTTTGGCAATTCTTTTTTAGTTTGTATTTTAACTGTGGTGTAAGAATAAAATGTGTTTTGCTTAAGATCTAGTTGTTTGACCAATCAAATCACATATGGAAGGCAACACTCAACACTTACCTTTAACTAAGATAAAAGTTAGGATTTAGGCCAAACTCCTTGATATATTTTATGGGGGTTTGGTCTGGTCCATAACACACACTATGCACGTTTAGATCAAGGTGATTCAACAATTCACTAAAAAGATGTTCGCCCAAGATTGCTACCCCTGGAAAAGCTTAATTCCAACTTTTCAGGCACAGGGTATTTCGAGTTGGAAGCCAAGACTAGATATCAGCCCATACTTCTTTCCCCAAAGTCACACAAACTCAGACTTTTAAATTAGCTTTCAGTAATCTGAGAAAACCATATTTACCATCTGCTGGGCTTATCTATTAGCCAAGATGTATTCTGACAATATATGAAGCATATTAGAGAATCTACCAGCTTGCCTCTGTATCACAGATGGCAATGCAGTTCACGCAAAAACTAAACATCAGCATGATACAAACCTCCATCAGCTCATTCTGGCTGCAAAAAAACAAGATGAGGCTTTCAGCAGCCAAAAGTGTTACAATGTACGCAAAGTCAACTTCTTTGCATCAATACATTCTTCGAAAAGTATCAGGCTGGATGTTATCAAAATAGATGACTATACCATAAGACAAAAGGTGAATTACAAAAATGTCACCTGAATCTTGAGGTTTTGATCTCCTCATATTCCAAATTTTATCTCCAAGATTTGCTCTGCAAAGGCATACCATATAGGAAGGCAGAAGGGTCAACATATTTTCCAATCTCTCAAAAATACTTCATCATCCAGTAAGTGTATTCTTCAGTATTTTGGAAATAAACACATTCCAGAAAGGCCTCAGAACATGCCTATTCCAGGATGACAAGCCTACTGCATTTGATTCTAAAGTCCTTACAATAGTTCAGACTCCAAAATAGAAGAGAAACTCTTGCATTCCTTTGCAAAATACAAAAGTCTTCACATGTACCTACTCAACAAGCATTTCATTGAAATAAGATTAAAATGTGCGTTCAACTACTGATATCGAGGATACAAGATGATAACAACTTTGGCGTTTCAATTCAGGTACAATCATTGAGTGCTTCTTTTTAAGATTTACCCTCATTTATTTCCTGCTCCCTCTATTTGCTATTAATTTTGAATTTCTGGCTTTTTTCTGCCCTGATCAAGCTGCGAGTTGTTACTAAATTTGGAGGGCTTTGCTGTACCTGCATGTCAACATCAAGCACTCAAATTGTGCAGCGTGACCAGCTGTACGGTAAACTTCATTATGTTCTGCATAATTGCAACTACATAAAAGGGCAGTCTCCTGTACTGATTGTTGAACTGTGGGTAGCTTTGTTCTGTAGAAATGCAGTATCACAAAATCTCCTCCTGAGCATCCAGGCTTACTTCACACAAGAAATTTGCTGCTCATTAGGATGTGGCCACCTTTGTCTCAGCCTGGGTTGCTTTTAAACCCCGAGCACTAAATGTGGAAAGTGAGACTAGTAGCTCATTGTGTATTGCAATTATATTCTCAGATTTTCCTGTTTTGTTTTGCTAAGGCGACAAATGAGATAGGACATCATATTGCATAGGCATATTTTGAAATTGATGATTTTCTGATAGAATACATTAATTTGCATGGGTATTATATTCCAATGGAACAGTTTCACGTCAGCTGTTCATCACTGGAATGGAATGAGCTACCAGAGGAACTAATGGATGCAGGTACAGATGCTTTGAAAAGGCATTTAGACAGATATATGAAAAGGGAAGGTTTAGAGAGATATGGGCCAAATGCAGGCAAATGGGGCTAGTTTAGTTTGGGAAACCGGGTTGGCATGGGTGAGTTGGACAAGAGATCTGTTCCCGTACTCATGACTATGACCACTGATCATGAAAACACAAGCCATTGGAAAAACTTCAGGTGCTCCACGACTACAACATGTACTTTTGAAAAATCGAAGGATGCAATTTTGAAGTACAATACAAACCGGGCTCTGAGAGCTATTCTTGATGTTCTTGGCAGAGTTCTAAACCCTGCTGAGAACGAAGGTATTCTTCTAGACTTGCATGTAGATATTGTCAAACCTGAGTTTGAAGGTAGTCTCAATAACAATCTCATTGATTTTGGTCACTGAGAAGCAGAGCTAATTCAGCAAGCCACGTCCGATGATATCCAATTGCAAAAGCTCAACCGTAATCATCGTTAGTGGTTGGTTCAAACACATTGGGCAAATCCCTGGACAAACAAACAGTCTATGACTAGGGTGAATGAGAACTTGGCAAAAATGTAATTTTCAAATGCAAACAAGTGATTATTCCATATGAAGTTAGTCATGTTTGACCACATGCACATGGGTTCTTTGGCATCTGTATGGCCTGACATTGGAGACACAGATTAACTGATCAACTTGTGATAAACATGTCAACTCCATAAACCTCAAATAGAAAATGCTTTTCTTTCCTCCTGACCTGTAGTGCAAGATCACGACAAAAATCTGTGTCCAAGGATATGACTGCATTCTGGTAACTGGCTATTTCATGAAATTCCCTTTTCAGAGACAAATCAAAAATACCATTTGCACAATACTTTTTGACAGATTTAATTCCCATATTCAGTATGTCTGGTGTTCATCATCAAATTGAGTGTGATGACAGCCTGCAATACACGAGTGCACTCTTCCATGACACATACAATTAATGGTAGGGCCTTGGGTAGTGCTATAGAACAGGGACCTAGGAATTCAGGCACATAATTCTGTGAAGTTTGTGTCACATAGACAGGGTAATTAAAAAGGCATTTGGCATGCTTGCCTTCATTGCTCAGTCCTTTGAGGGTAACAGTTGGAAAGTCATGTTGAAGCTGTATAGGACCCTGGTGAGGCCTCTTCTGGAATACTATGTCCGGTTCTGGTCACCCAGTTATAGGGAAGATATTATCAAGCTGGGAGAGCGTTCAGAAGAGATTTACCAGGATGTTGCAGGGTATAGAAGGTTTGAGTTATAAAGAAAAGTTGGACAGGCTGGGGCTTTTTTCACTGGAGCATGGGAGGTTGAGAGGCAACCTGACAACTTTAAAAAAATGAGACACATATATAAAGTTAATGGTAGTTGTCTTTTCCCCGAGGATGGGGGATTTCAACACTAGGGGGCACATTTTTAACGAGAGGACAGCGATTTAAAAAGATATGGGAGGCAATTTTATTTTAGAGGGTGGTTCGGTTGTGGAATGAACTTCCTGAGGAAGTGGTGGATGCTGGTACAATTACAACATTTAAAAGACATTTGGATAGATACATGAATAGGAAGGTTTTGGAAGCATATGGCCCAGGAGTAGGCAGGTGGGACTAGTTTAGTTTGGGATTATGTTCAGCATAGACTGGTTGGACCGAAGGGTCTGTTTCCATGTTGTGTGACTCTATGCAAGACCTGGAGTATTCAGCACATTAGCTCCTCTTTTCAATGTCCTCAATATAATGGTCTTCCACTATGCACTTTTTGCCCAGTGGAATCCACAATCATTAAATGCAAAGTTGCTTACCAAGAATTTTGGATAGCCATTGTAAATCTAACTGCTACTACTTAAGGCAACAGTTTGAGCTCACCAGCATCTCTCAAGTTTGCAAGACTAATCCCACACAGTTTGTCCTTCATATACTCTTGCCACCCAACCATATTCACACAATGCATTGTTGGAAAGGGAGAAAGTGGTACAACATCATGATCAATGGGAATGCAGAGTTATCTTAATTTGAACTAAGACGAAGTATCATAGTTTGAGATCTTCACATAGCACGTGGAAAGATACTACGACATCCTACGACCTAGGCCGAACATGACATTGTTTCACCATAGTGCATGATCATAAATTGTGACAGACTGCAAATCTAAGTTGTATATGACTAACCATAGCACATACAAAGTGATAACTAATAGTCAAAGTATCATACCAGACAAGCATACATCCATAACTCATGATACACATCTGTCCACAATGAACAACACATGAGAATGAAGCTACACAGACAACTCATGATAGGTACATAAGAACTAGATCTGCACATATCAATGTGGTGGATTAGAAGGTTTTAAAAGCCAACAATTAACAGCCGAAAAATAACCAAGGAGGAAGAAAAAATAACCAATGAGGAAGAAAAAATAACCAGCAAGTAATGTAAAAACCAACAATAGGAGCTTCTTTAAAAAAAAAAAAAAAGAGAGGCCAATGTGAACATGGGCTTCTTACAGAAACAGTAAGCAAATCAAGGATTAGGGAGCAATAGTAAGAAAGTGAAGTCAAGGATTATTATTATCCCTGATCTTGTTAAGTTGCAACAGACATGACGTGCCAATGGCTTACTTCTGCTCCTATATCTTATGGTCTACGAAGGAGCCATGTTCAATAAACATGCCTTAGTAGGCCACCTTTATTGATCCAAATTCAAATTTCCAACATATATGTGCTCAAGCTCTCGACTTCCATACCTTTTTAACTCTGGTTGCCAAGTCTTGAACAAACAGCTTCCGAAGATTATGGAGTGTCTGGAGTTCTTTTGCCTACAAAAATAAAAGTGACAGTATACCGATTAATTTTTGCCCAATAAAATTTTAAGAATGAATTTCTAAACTAAAATCTCAACCCAAAACTTACATATTCAACTTCACTTACCACAGTCTCCTCCAGTCCTTTGAGGTCCTGCCTTGCTTGTTCTCGTCGATCCTGCATAATCCTAAAAAGCAACAGATTGTATTATTTAGAATATTTACACAAATGAAGACATAGTACATGAACTAGCAATTATTCTGTAATAAATAAAGCCTAATTCCTGGTCTAATAAACAGTGAAGTGTTTGAGAACTTCGTGGAATGCATTAAGTTGTATCACAGCTTTTGGAGTTTTAATCAAGTAGTATTTTTTAAAATCTACTGAAATTTTTTTTACAAGTGTTGTAATTCAGATATACTGAAAACATTTACATTACTTACGTCAGTTCATGTAATTTGCGGCTTTTTTCCTGATCAACAGTCTTTAGCTTTTCATGTTCTACATGTAGACGCTCCTGCTCCAACATCATCTTCTGATTTTGGCTGTTATCAAATGGAAAAAGAAAATGAACAGCGCTTGGTTTTCATTCTCGTTCTAATCATCAAAATTTTAATCCAAACCATAACTAATAAGTAGTAACACTACTAGTCAGTTCTGAAGATTTTACATCCTCTTTTGCACTCTAACCAGGAGAAAGACATTGATCTTTGTCAATAATTCAGTAGAGGGGCTCAGGATAAACTTGAGCCTTTACTCAATTCTCAGCCAACATATGTTGTTGTTCTAGGGCTGTGGGGGTCTTTAATGCTTTACTTGCTGTGCTAATGCAACAATTTTTTGAAATGAAGGTGCACGAGAACAGCAAACTTTACTGAATGAGACTTATGAAATTTAACAACAGTATGATGTGTCAATACTCAATTCAATGTTTCAACGTATTTGTGTGTCTACAACATTAAAGATCTATTTTAAATCAATGAGCAAGCGCCAAGTGATGCCCAGGATCAGAAAAAGGTAACTTATATACAACAAAGAGTTGCTGAAAATCTACAAAAGAGATTTAGACCATTTATGAATTCAAATATTGTAGGTAAAAAGTAGCAAAACATACTCTTGAAGGTCTGTAATGAGCTTTTCCTGCTTTTCTATTTCATCCCTCAAACTGCTGATTTGTTTCTGATGGGCCTCCCGGTGGCTCTGCATTTGTTGCTCGACAGCTTTCTATAGTTAGAAATGAACAGTAGAAATATTATATACCAAGTTGAAGCCTAAACAATCTATACACACAGTCAATGTTTCACAATAAGTGATAACATATAGATCTACACAATAATCACAAAGCACCACAGCAGAATAGCACACAAAGAATGAATTCTGACAGTGACAAAGAATGGAGTTACCTTCACTTCATTGGCAGTCTGCACTTTGTTCAAGTGTTCCTTTTCCATTTCATGTACTTTTTCTGTAAATTCAAAACAATCATTACTTGCATCCTATCAAATCTGAACTAATTACAACAACTTGATAAATTCAAAATAGAAACGGTTTGACCATTTACTTTCATGACTACTTTCTCTAAACTATCATTTGATGATAGATTTGATCTATAATTGAATTCAGACATTAGATCAGGTTTTCGGCCTGTTTTGAATCCGACTGCACACATTCCTAGCCTCTATTCCTCAGCAAACAAACAATTTATGACAATTTTGCTGAAAGCTTTCTGACTTTGGCCCCATCTCAAAGAACTTTTTTGGCTAGGCAAAATCCAAAGCATGACCACACCCAGCTGTGAACAATATCTTGCCACACTCTCTCCCACCTCCCCTGTTAAAATTTTGTTTGGTCACACCTATCAGTTTATCCCCTTTCTGAAACTGAGAATGACTGCAGAGCTCAGCTGACCTCACTGCCAAAATTATCTGCAGTACGAAGACCATCTCCCTTCCTACCAGATTTCCCTTTCTCCCTCTATCAAATAATTACAAGCTTCCTCATGCCCTTCCAATCAATGATTAAATACTGTGCTTAATCCAGGCACTCTTGGTGCAACGAGATGAAGATCAATTGGCTAAATATAAAAGGGTCTAATTTCGTTTAACATACTGAGGAGAGATTACATTTTGTAAAAATTAAAAGTCAAGACATTTTGGGCTACGTTTTTGACATTGGAATCAAAGAGGGGCCCTATTCCCACACCATATTGCGAGCAGTCGCGTAAATTTTACCCTAATTTGACAGTGGGCAAGCTCTAAAATTTGAATGGTCAGCACAGAAGAGACAGTCTGCCATTGCAGGCAAAGGAATAAGGGGTGATAAGATAATAGGTGCAGCTGTGGAAGGGGAACTCTCAACATTGGCCTTTCAAGTAGTTGATGTATATATCCACCACTTGCAAGCGGTTAGTTCCGCTATGATCTGTGAACCAGCTGCATGAAATTATGTAGTCATCCACCTTCATTCTTGTAGTATGTTGGGGTGAAAATCTGGTCTCATTTTACTCCTCTCTCCACCTCAAAAATACCACTTACAAAAATTTCAGACTACAATATTGCTGCAAATTGATACCATCAATTGTCTACATTTTGCCAAAAAATCAAATTTTTGGAAAAATGTAAACAATTGCACAGCTAAGCAGGGGAAATTGGGTGGGGGTGGTGGTGGTGGTTTAGGGGCAGTTGGGAGAGGAGAAAAAAAAAAGCAAAATTTTTAATAGGTGCACCTGAACATGTGGCATCAGAATATTTCTACAAACTGCAAAATTATTATATATTTGTTAGAGTTGTGCAAAAATACTACACAGTGCAACAAAATATACTCTTGCTCACAGCCAAGACTCTTAACATACCTTGTGCCTGAAGCTTGACCAAGTCTTCATTCAGTGAATCAACAGATTCTTCCAGATGTCTCTTTTTGTGTTCCACATTTTGTAGATATTCTGTAAGTGACTTGATCTTTGCTTCATGCTAGTATCATTGTTTTAAAAGAAAAGTTATGGTTTAAATAAAATGAAAAGTCTCTTTTCCCTCCAGGTAAAGAAAGGCAGTGCTACAAAATTTGTGGAATTTCCTTTTTGGATATTGTTATGAAATAAAACATTAATATTACCATTTTAACTTTTAGGCTTGTGTTTTTGCGGTCCAATGATCTAGTTATAATTATAACAGGCCGTAAATAAATAACTTCATTGGCACAAGAGGTGGAAAAACATACTTGGAGAGGAGGGCAGTGAATGGGTAACATAAATCCAGGAAATAGAAACAGTAAAATGGTCAGCTATTCATTGAAGCCGTTTATAATGAATAAAATTTATATTCAATGGAATTACTATCACGGAATCACTCAAATCAACATCCTGGGACATGGTACTAACCAGAAATTGAACTGGACCAATCATATAAATAAAATCTGACGAGAGTAGGTCATGTGGAATTCTGCAGTAAGACACCTCCCATCTCCCCAAAGCCAATCCACCAAATACAAATCTAAGTCATTGTGATTCGAATATTCTCTACTTGTCTGGATGAGTACAGCTCAAACAACTCAAGCAGCTTGACACCATCCTGGACAAAACAGCTCACTTATTAGCATTCTATATACGACCTTCAAAATCAATGCACAATTACAACAGTTTGTGCAATCAACAAGATGTAATGTCTTAGCACACCAATACTCCTCGGATAACACCTTCCAAACTTGTAACCCCTTATAACTCAGGAGAGGGGCAGCAGATACACAGGAAAACACTACCTGAGATCCTCACCAAGAGACACACCTTTTTGACTTGTAGCTATATCTGTTTCTTCACTGTTGCTGGGTCAATATCCAGGAATTCCCTTCCTAACAGAACTAGGGGTGCACCTACACCCCAAGGACTGAAGTGGTTCAAGGACGCTCATCAGCATCTTCTCAAGGATAATGAAGGATAGATAATGTGTTGATCTAGTCACTGACACATAATCCATGACTGACTATAAAACTAAAATGGTTGTGTTTAGTTGTTCTATATACAAATAAAAAATTTCAAAACTTGAAGCAAAATAAGATACAATTGCTTGCACATTCGCTGCCAATATTTTATGCCCTAGTATAGCAATTATAATTATTCTCCCCGCCTTAAAATGCCAGTTTACCATATCACGAGTCAATAGTACTATGGTCTGCTGAATAGTCAGGTGCAAATTCTCTCCATCAATCATGGAAGCTTTGCACAGATTGAGATAGTGACAGAAAATATGACCTGAAATGAACAGAGGGTAGAATAAAATGAACAAATATTTCGAGAGATGGCTAGCTATCAGCGTCGTTCATTTATTAGTCAAATGTATCAAACTGGCCATGACCTAATAATACTGAGTCCAAGTTGTCAATCTACCTTTTGAATCACATTGAGAAATGAAACTTTTGCAACTGTACCAACAGACCAATTGCAAAACACATTTGTTGGGGCTAAATTTCAGACCTGGATCTTTTAATTGTCAATTTCCCAAGTGGGAAGAGAGCACAGAACAGCTTCCACCAGGGCATCAAGTTACCCTTATAGGTTTACCAGTGTTCAGGTAAGTGAAGGTGATTTAAGAAGGCAAAGTTTAGAATGTCAGTAGGCCATTCAGCCCACTGATTCGATGCTGGCTCCCCTATTGAACAATCCAGTTAATTCTAACACCTTGCTCTATCACAATAGCCCTCCAACTGTATCTTCCTACCATGTCGACCTAATTTCCTTTGAAATCAGGTAACATTTCTATATCCACCAACCTGACAGGCAGTGAGGTCATCACTACTCATTGCATAAAAGTAGTATTACTCAGATGCCCTGATGGACCTCCTGATCGGGGAAAATTTGTGACTTGCTTTGAGGAACTTATAGGATTATTCATGCTCTTCCTGTATCCACAAAGTTTTTTTTTTAAAACTTATTCTAAAGACTGTTCAGTGGTACTATTGCTGTACTAGTAATCCAAAGACCCAAGTAATGTTCTTGGAACATGGGCTCAAATCCCATCAGATGATGATGGAATTTGAATTCAATAAATTAAAGAATTTAATAATGACTATGAAACTATAGTCGATTGTCAGAAAAACTTTGGTTTCGAAATGTCCTTTAGAAAGGAAATTTACCATCCTTACTTGGTCTGGCCTACAAATTACTCCAGACCCACAGCAATATCACGGGCTTTCAACTGCCTTCTGAAATGTATCAATCACTATAAAGTCTCAAAAGAATGAAAGAGACAAACAACAGACCACCTGGCAGCAGCTAAGGCACCAGAACAACGACAACCCTGCAAAGTCCTGACTAACGTCTAGAACCTAGTCCCAAAATTGGGAGAGTTATCTCAAGAATAGTCAAGCAACATCTGACAGTCATACTTACACACACCACTCCAAGCAACATCACCAAATTATGTCCACCATCTGGGTTAGTCCCAGTAGTAACACGAGTGGCTTTTGCCATGAATAGGATATTGCAGTCAAGCCATAAAGACATTCTGTCCCGCACACAAATGCATACTCTGGAACATGAATTTTAATGCCTGTGCAATGCCAAGTACAAAGGCTGTATGTCCCAAAGATTGGAAGACTGACAAAGAGCATTTCCCTTCAGTTGCTCACAATAGGCAAAGTACTCTTTGGGTACAATCAGCCCACACTTTTGTGGTATTATCAGTGTTAAATAGGACAGATTTTGAACAGATCTAGCAACTCAAGACTGAGCATCCACAAGGTGCTGTGGACCATCAACAGCAGAAGAATTGCACTACAACTTCATGGACCAGCATGTTCCCCACTCAATCACTCACCATCCAGCTTGATAGTAATCAGTACTGAGTATTGAATCCAGTGGAGTGTGCAGGTGGCTATGCCAGGAACAACGCCAGGCATACCCAAGAGAAAGGGGTGTCAACCTACCAAATAGGACCACTTCCATGCTGCTAATGCTGTTTGGCAAGTGATAGACAGAGCTAAGCAATCCCACAACCAGTGGATCAAATCTAAGCCTTGCAGTCCTGCAAACTCCAGTTATAAATGGTGGTGGTCAATTTAACAACCTACTGGAGGACCATGAAGTGGCTCCACAAATATCCCCATCCTCAACAATGGAACAGCCCAACACATGAAAAGTTTAAACTACAACATGCATAGCAATCTTCAGATGTCAGTCTTCAGCCAATTCGGATCACTTATTGTGAAATCCAGAAAGTATTAGAGGCACTAGATACTGCAAAGGCTACAGGTCCTGACAATATTATGGCAACAGTACTGAAGACCTGTGCTCCAGAACTTGTCACTCTCCTACCCAAGGTGTTCAACACAGTCATCTACCCAACTTTGTGGAAAATTGCCCAAGCAGGATAAATCCATTCCGGCCAGTTACGGCCTCATCAGTCTACAAACATTTGTAAAAAGTAATGGAAGGTGTCATCAGAGCTAACAAGTAACACCTGCTTAGCAACAACCTACTCACTGACACCCAGTTCAGGTTCTGAGGGCCACTCAGCTTCTGACCTCATTACATCCTTGACTCAAACATGGACAAAAGAGCTGAATTCCAGAGGTGAGGACTGAGAGACAGCCTTTGACATCAAGGCCACGTTTGACCAAATGCGGCATCAAGGAGCCTTGGCAAAACTGGAAACAATGGGTATCAAAAGGAAACCTCTGGTGGGAGTCATAACTGGCATATAGGATGATAGTTGTGGTTGTTGGAGGTCAGTCATCTCAGCTGTAGAGTCTCTGCAAGAGTACCTTACGGTAATGGCCTAGGCCCAAAAATCTTCAGCTGCTTCAATGACCTTCCCTCCATCACAAGAGGGGATGTTTGCTGATGATTGCACAACATTCAGCGCCATTCACGACTTCAGATATTGAAGCATTACATGTTCAAATTCAACAAGATCTGGACAAAATCCAGGCTTGAACCAACAAGTGACAAGGAAACTCATGCCACACAAATGCCAGGTAATGATCATCTCCAATAAGAGACAATCCAACCACTGCCCCTTGACATTCAACGATGTTACCATTATTGAATCCTCCACTATCAACACTCTAGAGGTTATCATTGACCAGAAACTCAACTGGTTTCACCATATAAATACAGTGGCTTCAAGAATAGGTCCAAGATTGGGAATACTGTGATGAATAATTCACCTCCTGATCCTGCAGAGCCTGTCCATCATCTGTAAGGCACAAGGCATGTGATGGAATTCTCACCAACTGCCTGACGAGCGTAGCACCAACAATACTGAAGAAGCTTGACACCATCCAGAACAAAGCAGCCTAATTGATTGGCTCCACATCCACAGACATCCACTCCCTCCACCACCAATGCTCAGTAGCAGTGTATACTATATACAAGATGCACTGCAGAAATTCAAAGATCCTTAGACAGCACCTTCCAAACCCACAATGACTTCCATCTAGAAGGACAAGGGCAGCAAGTACACAGGACACCACCACCTTCAAATTCCCTTCCAAGCCACACTCAATCCTGACTTGCAAAAATATATCACCATTCTTTCACTGTTGCTGGCCAAAACCCTTGAAATCCAGTGCCCCCTCCCAAGGAGTGTACCTACAGCACATGCACTGCAACTGTTCAAGTAAGTTCATCACCACCTTCTCATGCAACATCAACATCCCACAACTGCACAAAACAAAAAAAAAAAAAAAGCCTTTACTCCAAATTTGAAACTGCAGACATTGAGCTGTCTTATGGAATGAACTTCTGGCCCTGATATAAACACAAAAAAAGGGTTAATTGTTCAAAGAATTGTTCAAGCTGATGAAAATCTTTTTATGATTCATTGAAGCTCTGCAAGAAAAAAAAAGTATTCTTCCTTGACATCCCTTTGGACTGAAGCTATAGCTAGGACAGCACAAAAAATTAGCTGGCAATTCTGAGATTATTCCATCAATTACCTGAGAAATGCGAAGATGACAAGCTGCCAGTTCCTTTTCATTCTCTTCTAACTTCTGGTTATTCTCGACTTGTGTGCTTTCCAACTGCTTGCAGCGTTTTACCATGGTTTTCACTTCAGATTTCATTTTGCTAATGTATAGCCGTGCCACAGTAAATTCCTCATCTAGGAGGCCACTTCCCTCAGGCTGCGGAGAAATAAATTATGTTCATACAGTTTGTCACAATGTCAGCACTACTTTCAAACAAAGATTAGTGAATATATTGCCCAAACGTCTTTTCCTTAATAACGAATGCAAATTGAGACAAACAGAATTCAACAAGAGGTATCTAAAATAGCTTTACTGTTCTCAAGCCGAAATGATTCTTAAACAACAGGTTATACTTCTACAGCACATTTAGCATAGAAAAGCACCCCAAGTCACTTCACAGGAACAGTAGGCAACAAAATTTGACACTGTCAAGAAATGCCACTGAAAATTTGGTCAAAAAAGGTAGCTGCAACATGCTGTGGCTAAATCTGAGCATTTTTCTAATATCTTACAAAGACCAAGACTATTTGTGTGTATCTAGTTGGTTTGTTTAAACAATGGAGACCATAGAACAGAAGTAGGCCATTTAGCCCATTTAATGAGATCTGGCTGATCTGATACTCAACTCTACTTTTCTGCCTTTTCCCCATAGCCAGTGATTCCCTTATTGAGTAAAAATCTATCCATCTCAGCCTTGAATATCCTAATGACCCACCCTCAGTGAGCAATTCCATAGATACACAACCCTCAGAAGTTTCTCATCTGTCGACCCTATATTCTGAGATTATACCCTCTGATCCCAAACTCTCCCACAAAGGAGAAATCTCTCCACATCTATTCTGTCAAGACTCTTAGGAATCTTTTACATTTCAACATGGTCACCTCTTTGAAACTCCAATGAATACAGGGCCAATTCACTCAACTTCTTCTTGTAAGCCAAAGTTCTATGTACCTTGGATCAATCTAAACTTCTCAAAAGAAATGGAGTATAAAATTAGGAAGGTTTGCTACAAGGCACTTAACAGGCCATAGCTGGAATACTGTGATCAGATTAGGTCCCCTTATTGAAAGAAAGACATATTGGCACTGGGGGCAGTCCAGAGAACATTCCTTAGGTTAGTTCATTAGATAGTTCATAGAACACAGAACTGTACAGCACAGTACGGGCCCTTCGGCCCACGATGTTGTGCCAAACTTTTACCCTAAACCTAAGGTCTATCTAACCTCCACCCCTAAGTTATGCTATCATCCATATGCCTATCTAATAGCGGCTTAAATGCCCCTAATGAGGCCAACTCCACTACCCTCTCCGGCAATGCATTCCACGCCCCGACCACTCTCCGAGTAAAGAACCTACCTCTGACCTCTCCCCTATATCTATCTCTATTCACTTTAAAACTATGCCCCCTCGTAATGGCTACCTCCACCCTAGGAAAAATTGTCTGGCTACCCACTCCATCATTACCTCTGATCATTTTGTACACCTCTATCAAGTCACCTCTCATCCTTTATCGTTCTAAAGGAAAAGCCCTAGCTCTCTCAACCTTTCCTCATAAGACCTTCCCTCCATTCCAGGCAACATCCTGGTAAATCTCCTCTGCGCCTTTTCCAACACCTCCACATCTTTCCTGTAATGAGGCGACTAGAACTGGACACAATACTCCAGATGTGGCCAAACCAGAGTTTTGTATAGCTGGAGCATAACTTCATGGCTCTTGAACTCAATCCCTCTATCAATGAAAGCTAACACACCATACACCTTCTTAACAACTCTATCCACCTGGGTGGCAGCTTTCAGGGAACTGTGGACATGAACCCCGAGATCCCTCTGCTCCTCCACACTGCCAAGAATCTTTCCGATAACCTTGTATTCTGCTTTCAAATTTGTCCTTCCAAAATGAATCATCTCGCACTTTTCAGGGTTAAACTCCATCTGCCACTTCTCAGCCCAGCTCTGCATCCTATCAATGTCCCTTTGTAACCTAGAACAGCCCTCCGTACAACCCACAACTTGACCCACCTTCGTATCGTCCACGAACTTACTAATCCACCCTTCCACTCCTTCATCCAAATCATTTACAAAAATCACAAATAGAAGGAGAACTAAAACAGATCCTTGTGGCACACCACTCGTAACTGAGTACCAAGTTGAATATTTTCCATCCACTACAACCCTTTGTCTTCTAAGGGTCAGCCAATTATGCATCCAATCTGCCACATTCCCCCCTATCCCATGCCTCCTTACTTTCTGCATGAGCCTACCATGGGGAACCTTATACTATCATCCATATGCCTATCTAGTAGCCGCTTAAATGCCCCTAATGAGGCCGACTCCACTACCCTCTCCGGCAATGCATTCCACGCCCCTACCACTCTCTGCATTACTTAAATCCACGTATACCACATCCACTGCTCTACCTTCATCCACGTGTTTGGTCACCTCTTCAAAGAATTCAATAAGGTTTGTGAGGCATGATCTACCCCTCACAAATCCAAGCTGACTAACACGAATCAAACTGTGCCTTTCCAAGTGATCATAAATCCTATCTCTCAGAGCCCTTTCTAATAATTTGCCCTCCACTGAAGAAAGACTAACTGGCCTGTAATTTCCAGGGTTTTCCATATTCCCTTTTTTGAACAAGGGAGTGATGTGTGCCACTCTCCAATCTTCCGGCACTATACCGGAGGACAGTGATGACGAAAAGATCATTGCCAAAGGCCCTGCGATCTCTTCCCTGGCTTCCCATAGAATCCTTGGATAAATCCCATCAGGCCCGGGGGACTCATCTATCTTCAATATTCCAGCTATGGTCTGACTAGTGCTGTGTAGTATTAGCAAAACCTCCCTACTTCTGTACTCCATTCCCTTTAAAGTAAAGGCCAACATTTCATTAATACCTGAACCTTTTCTCATTCATGCACAGGGACTCCCAAATCTGTTCTGTAGCTTTTGACATTCATTCTCTATTTAAAGTGACACTCAACTCCTATATCTTTCTGAAGTGCATAACCTCAAATTTTCCCACATATATTCCATCTGCCACGTATTTTCCCCCATTCATTTAACCTGCCTATATCCTACTGCAGACTCTGTCTTCATCACAATGTGCCTTTCCACCCATTTCTGTGTAATATATAAACTTGGCTATGGTACACTCACCCTCATGAGGAGTTACTATATATTGTCAATAATTGTGGCCACAGTACTGATCCCTGCGACACTAGTTATAGCTTGCAATCCTGAAAATGCCCCCCTTATTCCAAATCTGTTTTCTACTAGTTACCCAAACCTTTATCCACAAAAACATACCTCTGTCACCATAGGCTCTTATCAAGACAAGATCTAGACCTTACCAAACACCTTCTGAAAATCCAAATATATTACATCCCTGTGTTTCTCTTATTTATCCTACTTGTTACCTCCTCAAAGAATTCTAGTAAACTTGTCAGGCATGATTTCCCCTTCATGAAGCCATGCTGACTCAGATCATGCATTTCTAGGTGCACTATTACATCTTTAATATTTTGCCAATTACAGATGTTAAGCTGACTGACCTACGGTTATCTGTTTCTTGCCTCCTTCCCTTTTTCAATAAAGGTGTTTAACAATTCAGTGATTCATTTTAGACACATTTGGAAGACCCTGTTCAAGTCTTGTAAGAAAATAAATAAATTCTTTGAAAAGTTAGTTATTCAGATGAAAAACACTAAAGGATACTTGAGAAGGCTGAAGTCTCAAATTTGTAGGTTTATTTTAAACACAGGAGTCAATTTTCAGAATTTCAAGTTAAGTTTCAGGAATCAATTATGAAATTTGAGTGCATATTTTCAAGATTTGTTCTCCCTTGTCTCAAATGAAACTTTCTTTTACATATGTTCCAAAATGTATTTGCGAGACATCTTTGATAACAGGAAGCACTGAGCCTAAAACTGCTTGCTCACAATAAAGCAAATTCTATATTTCTTTTCAATAAGTTACCTCATATCTTTCCAGTAAACTGGGACACAAAATTCTACGCTGATAAAGGAATCTTAACAGTAGGAACCAGTGTTAGTTTCGAACATGCATTACAATCTTCAGGCCCAACAATTGAAGCACAATAGCATATTAGCAAACTCACATGATTTAGATAATAGGTCCAGGTGTCCCAATTAGAAAATCTATATTTTCAAGCAAACTATCTGCAGATGTGCAACTGTATCTTTCATCACTACTGACTGTGTTCCACTATAGTAAGAATCTTAAGTCTACCTAAAATCGAGAATGAAACATATTTTGGCATTAGCCCATTATACCTATTTCTTTTTTAAAGCCCTCGTCTGGATAGTCAACAGGCTATATTGGTCTAGAAGCAGCCAGAGTAGAAGGTTTTGAAATTAGGGGGTCTGCATTGGCAGTGACAACTGCACAGCCTTTTGGCCATTCTGTTCTATATAGTTGACAGTGTTAGCTGCAGAGGCAGCTAATATGGAACATAATCACTAGTGCATACTTGTTGGGTTGAAGAATGGCTCGTTTATGTTTATTACATTCTACTTAATTTTTTATTGGATTGTAGTAAACTCACCTTCACAGAAGAACTGCAGAAACTAAGCATTTTGTCCTTGAAAGGCAGTGCCCGAGAGTATAAATTTAAATTAGGATATCTACGCAGCACAATAAGCAAAGCGAATGGCGAGTCTCAATGGTGGGCAGCAGTGAGGCAAATGGCAAGTCCGGATGGCAGACAACAGTGAGGGACTCATCCCAGTACAGGAGAAAGCATGTCTTTGTGGGGAGTGTGGGCCCAATGCAGGGGAGCGTGAGCCCTTGTGGGGAAAGCCCAGCATGGAGAGACTGTCGGCCCATGGCTACAGAAGGACAGAAATGTTGAACTTTTAACTGTATTTCTTCATTTTTCTACCTTGTACCTAAGATTTTGTAACTAGGTCCCTTTGTACCTAGGATGGCACCAGGAATAGCATCTTTGTTCACTTTTCACTGTACTTGAATACATGACAATAAACCTAATTCTTAAGTTGGCAATGCTACTGTGAAAGGACCATGTTTAGAAAGATAATGGATGATGTCTATGATAGAACTACAAATGCCTTGATAAAAAGCACAATGCTGCCATTGCACCAAGTAGGCAACATTCAACACGCAGTTGAGACCGATGAAGCTGTACGAAAGCTAATTGCAGAATTTTTGAATCTGATAGTAGCATGTTAATTTTTCAAATTCCTGTAGGTCGGAATGGATAAAAGGATTAAAAAGTATGTTTCCCCGATAATAACATTGCTTTTGCTTGTTGGTAGACTGCCGCAACTCCATTTTTCAAGATTGTATGCTTACCTTAACATCATTGTTGCCAACTGCGATTCCAATTTCTGCAAGATCTTTTAACAATGATGTCATCATTTCAGTAACTCGTTTCTTCTGATGATTGGTCATTTCCTTCAGTTTTTGCAGCTCTGCATCAATGGATGTTAATGTAGCCTGCATTAATAGAATTGAAGTAATCATCTTAAAAAGAAGTAGTTCAAGTATAACCAAAAAAACCAGTTATTTAAGCTATCGATGAGAATCAGATTTGAACCAGCAAGTGAAGTGTTGCTTTGACACAAAACAGTACAAGCATACACTAATTTGCACCAAAGCAATCAATAAACAAAATGTCCTCCTGATAGCGTACACAGTTTTTTTTTACAATTATTTAGCAAAAATTTCATCTTTATAGAGTCAGAGCACGGAAACAGACCCTTCGGTCCAACAAGTCAATGCTGAACATAATCCCAAACCGAGCTAGTCCCAGCTGCCTGCTCTTGGCCCATATCCCTCCAAACCTTTGCTGTTCATGTACTTATCCAAGTGTCTTTTAAACATTGCAATTGTGCCCACATCACCACTTCATCAGGAAGTTCAATCCACATGCAAACCACCCTCTGTGTGAAAAAACTGCCCGTGTTTTTTTTAAATCTCTTCTCTCACCTTAAAAAATGTGTCCCCTAATCCTGAAATCACCCATCCTAGGGGAAAGACAGCTATCATTAAGCCTATATCCATGATTTTATAAGCCTGTTTAAGGTCACCTCTCAACTTGATTCATACACAGTACCAAAATCTTCAAGGGCGTTAAAAGCTGTTTTTAACATGGTGCACAATTGTGAAAGGCTTTCATCTAGTGCAATTTCTTACTGATTTTTGGCCCAGCTCATCACTTAGTAGCTCAAATTCCCTTGTCTTGTCCTCAACTTCCTGTGACTTCTGGTCATAATTGACCGCAAGTTCTTCCAATGCTTGCAGCACCTCCTTCACTTCTTCTTTGGAGGCATCATTCTCAGCCTGTAGGCGATTGAGTTCTGACTGCATGTTGTCTTGGTCTCGTCTGGTGGATGCCAGAAGCTACAAAATGATGCAAGATCAGTACCAGATAAGTGAAAGCACTATTACTTTCATGTTTCCTGTATTACAGGTTTCTTAACATTATAAAAATTACCTAATTACACCTGCATTATTTCAGTCATTTTATTCGTAAAGTTTAAGAAATCCTTCAATGATACATTTAACACTGTTTCTCAAGATAATCAGTGAAGGAGTTCAAAATCTCCCTATGCTTTAATGGGTAAATACAGCATGCAATGTTGGGTTAATAGCATAGAAATTAGAAAAGCCTCAGATAGGATCTCTGATCTATTCTTAATTAACCAGCGTAATATTTGTAGGGCCAACAGCATAAATGGTCTTAACGCACTGAGCTATGAAGCAGAAAAATAGAAAAAACAAGTCCATCATGCTCAACAGTTACATCAGATTGCTGCTCATAAAAATACACCAATTGAATGGGCTATCAATGACTATCAACACGCAAGGTGCAATCGTCTGACAGGCCAAAGCATCTCTAATACAACTACATGAAAAAAATGTCAGCAGGATTGATCAGACTTACTTCTTCCTGGTCCAACATCTGCTGCTTAAGTTTTTCCACCAGCTGACTCTGTTGATTGATCTCCTCATCCTGCAGCCAGAGTTAGAATACAACCAATTTGCAGTTAGATGATTCATCAATAATACTAACATTACACTAAAAAAACTCCCCGTGCAAAAGATACACCAGAGCATAATTTAGAAGTCTCTTCCCATCAGCTAAAAATGAGACCTTTGTATTTAAATGTTACTTTTACTTTTCATCGATTATACATGAACAATTTTAAAAATTAACTGATAACCTTTCGCCAAGGGATCAATTTCTTGCATTAAACAATGTGTAGTTTTTAAAAAAGTAACCTGGCATTGTTAATTCCAGCCTATGAAATAGCAAAGTGACAGTGAACTAGCCAATAGCAAATTTTGATTTGTCCATGTCCATCCTTTGTCAATCTCCTTTCTAGGTAATAGACCAACTTCCTTATTCAGAAACTAAATAACGAAACCAACTAGCTACAATTTAAAATTTTTGTCGCAAAGCTGGTACCTTAAGAAAAAGGTATCCATAGGAGTCAATTTGGATCTAATATCGTTGTTCAAATTAACCTGATTACATCAGTATTAAACAAGCCTTTCACTATTTTAAAAATATAAATCATGCTAGTTCTCAAATTTACCTCCTCTGAAAACAAGTTAATTGAGTTCAAAAACAAAGTTGCTGGAAAAGCTCAGCAGGTCTGGCAGCATCTGT